CGATGCTGGAGATGGCTCAAGGCAGTGAGCATCGGTACCGCAATCTATTCGTTGACAGTTTCGTCGTTGCCAGCTTTTGCTGCATTAGCAAATATGAAAAAGCAAGGTCTCACCGAGATTTGAACTCATGATCGCTGGATTCAGAGTCCAGAGTGCTAACCGTTACACCATGAGACCGCACTTTCCGACGCCGGGAATCAAACCTGGGCCTTCTGGGTGAAAGCCAGATATCCTAGCCACTAGACCACGCCCGAGATGACGACAAGAGAACGAGCGCTGGTACCGGTGTCTATTCGTGGACAGTTTCGTCGTTGCCAGCTTTTGCTGCATTAGCAAAAATAAAAAGCAAGGTCTCAAAAAAAAAAAGCAATGTCTCACCGAGATTTGAACTCGGTTAGCTGGATTCAGAGTCCAGAGTGCTTGCATTTACATCCTGAGACCACACTTCCCGAAGCCGGGAATCTAACCCGGGCCTTCTGAGTGAAAGCCAGATATTCTAGCCAGTAGACCACGCCGGAGATGACGACAAGAGAAGGAGCGCTGGTACCGGTGTCTATTCGTGGACAGTTTCGTCGTTGCCAGCTTTTGCTGCATTAGCAAAAATAAAAAGCAAGGTCTCACCGAGATTTGAACCCGGATCGCTGGATTCAAAGTCCAGAGTGCTAACCATTACACCATGAGACCACACTTTCCGACGGCCGGAATCGAAATCGGGCCTTCTGAGTGAAAGCCAGATATCCTAGCCACTAGACCATGCCGGAGATGGCGACAAGAAAATGAGTGCTGGTACGGATGTCTCTTCGCGGACAGCGTCGTTGTTGCCAGCTTTTGCTTCATTAGCAAAAATAAAAAAGTAAGCAATTACCGAGATTTGAACTCGGATCGCTGGATTCAGAGTCCAGAGTGCTAACCATTACACCACGAGACCGCACATTCCGACGCCGGGAATCGAACCCGGGTCTTCTTTGTGAAAGCCAGATATTCTAGCCACTAGACCACGCCGGAGATGGCTCAAGGCTGCGAGCATCGGTACCGCGGTCTATTCGTTGACAGTTTCGTCGTTGCCAGCTTTTGCTGCATTAGCAAAAATAAAAAGCAAGGTCTCACCGACATTTGAACTCGTATCGCTGGATTCAGAGTCCAGAGTGCTAACCATTACAACATGAGACCGCACTTTCCGACGCCGGGAATCGAACCCGGGGCTCCTTGGTGAAGGCCAGATATTCTAGCTACTAGACCACGCCAGAGATCGCGACATGGGAATGAGTGCTGGTCCCGGTGTCTGTTCGCGGACAGTTTCGTCGTTGCCAGCTTTGCTGCAATAGCAAAAATAAAATGCAAGGTCTCACCGAGATTTGAACTCAGATCGCTGGATTCAAAGTTCAGAGTGCTAACCATTACACTATGAGACCGCACTTTCCGACGCCGAGAATCGAACCCGGGCCTTCTTTGTGAAAGCCAGATTGCCTAGCCACTAGACCACGCCGGCGATGGCTCAAGGCAGCGAGCATCGGTACCGCGGTCTATTCGTTGACAGTTTCCTCGTTGCCAGCTTTGCTGCATTAGCAAAAATAAAATGCAAGGTCTCACCGAGATTTGAACCCTGATCGCTGGATTCAGAGTCCAGAGTGCTAACCGTTACACCATGAGACCGCACTTTCCGACGCCGGGAATCGAACCCGGGCCTTCTGGGTGAAAGCCAGATATCCTAGCCACTAGACCACGCCGGAGATGGCGATAAGAGAACGAGCGCTGGTACCGGCGTCTATTCGCGGACAGTTTCGTCATTACCAGCATTTGCTGCATTAGCAAAAATAAAAAGCAAGGTCTCACCGAGATTTGAACCCGGATCGCTGGATTCAGAGTCCAGAGTGCTAACCGTTACACCACGAGACCGCACTTTCCGACACCGGGAATCGAACCCGGGCCTTCTGGGTGAAAGCCAGATATCCTAGCCACTAGACGATGCCGGAGATGGCGACAAGAAAAGTGGGAATGAGTGCCGGTACCGGTTTCTATTCGCTGACAGTTTCGTCGTTTCCAGCTTTGCTGCATTAGCAAAATAAAAAGCGAGGGCTCACCGAGATTTGAACTCGGATCGCTGGATTCAGAGTCCAGAGTGCTAACCGTTACACCATGAGACCGCACTTTCCGAACGCCGGGAATCGAACCCGGGTCTTCTTGGTGAAAGCCAGATATCCTAGCCACTAGACCACGCCGAATACGGCACAAGGCAGCGAGCATCGGTACCGCGGTCTATTCGTTGACAGTTTCGTCGTTGCCAGCTTTTGCTGCATTAGCAAAAATAAAAAGCAAGGTCTCACCGAGAATTGAACTCGGATCGCGGATTCAGAGTCCAGAGTGCTAACCGTTACACCATGAGACCGCACTTTCCGACGCCGGGAATCGAACCCGGGACTTCTGGGTGAAAGCCAGATATCCTAGCCACTAGACCACGCCGGAGATGCGACAAGGGCAGACGAGCGCTGGTACCGGTTGTCTATTCGGTGACAGTTTCGTCGTTGCCAGCTTTTGCTCCATTAGCATAAATAAAAAGCAAGGTCTCACCGAGATTTGAACTGGGATCGCTGGATTCAAAGTCCAGGGTGCTAACCATTACACCATGAGACCGCACTTTCCGACGGCCGGAATCAAACCCGGGCCTTCTCAGTGAAAGCCAGATATCCTAGCCACTAGACCATGCCGGAGATGGCGACAAGAAAATGAGTGCTGGTACGGATGTCTCTTCACGGACAGCGTCGTTGTTGCCAGCTTTTGCTTCATTAGCAAAAAAAGTGAGCTATCACCGAGATTTGAACTCGGATCGCTGGATTCAGAGTCCAGAGTGCTAACCATCACACCATGAGACCGCACATTCCGACGCCGGGATTCAAACACGGGTCTTCTTTGTGAAAGCCAGATATCCTAGCCACTAGACCACCCCGGAGATGGCTCAAGGTTGCGAGCATCGGTACCGCGGTCTATTCGTTGACAGTTTCGTCGTTGCCAGCTTTTGCTGCATTAGCAAAAATAAAAAGCAAGGTCTCACCGAGATTTGAACTCGGTTCGCTGGACTCAGAGTCCAGAGTGCTAACCATTACACCATGAGACCGCACTTTCCGACGCCGGGAATCGAACCCGGGCCTCCTGGGTGAAGGCCAGGTATTCTAGCTACTAGACCACGCCAGAGATCGCGACATGGGAATGAGTGCTGGTACCGGTGTGTTTTCGCGGACAGATTCGTCGTTGCCAGCTTTTGCTGCATTAGGAAAAATAAAAAGGAAGGTCTCACCGATATTTGAAATCGGATCGCTGTATTCAGAGTCCAGAGTGCTAACCGTTACACAATGAGACCGCACTTTCCAACACCGGGAATGAAACCCGGGCCTTCTTGGTGAAAGCCAGATATCCTAGCCACTAGACCATGCCAGAGATTTCGCCAAGGGAATGAGCGCTTGTACCGGTGTCTGTTCGCGGACAGTTTCGTCGTTGCCAGCTTTGCTGCATTAGCAAAAATAAAATGTAAGCTCTCACCGAGATTTGAACTCAGATCGCTGGATTCAAAGTTCAGAGTGCTAACCATTACACTATGAGACCGCACTTTCCGACGCCGAGAATCGAACCCGGGCCTTCTTTGTGGAAGCCAGATTGCCTAGCCACTAGACCACGCCGGCGATGGCTCAAGGCAGCGAGCATCGGTACCGCGGTCTATTTGTTGACAGTTTCCTCGTTGCCAGCTTTTGCTGCATTAGCAAAAATAAAAAGAAAGGTCTCACCGAGATTTGAATTCAGATCGCTGGATTCAGAGTGCTGAGTGCTAAGCATTACACCAATTGACCACACTTTCCGACGCCGGGAATCGAACCCTGGCCTTCTGGGTGAAAACCAGATATCCTAGCCACTAGACCACGCCAGAGATAGCTCGAGGGAGCGAGCATCGGTACGGCGGTCTATTCGTGGACAGCGTCGTTGTTGCCAGCATTTGCTGCATTAGGAAAAATAAAAAGCAAGGTCTTTGAGATTTGAACTCCGGATCACTGAATTGCAAGTGCAGAGTGCTAACCGATTACACCTAGAAGCACCGCACTTTCCGACGCCGAGCATCGAACCCGGGCCTTCTTGTGGAAAGCCAGATATCCTAGCCTACTAGGACCACGCCGGAGAATGGCATCAAGGCAGCGAGCATTCGGTTACCGCGGTCTATTCGCTGACAGTTTCGTCGTTGCCAGCTTTTGCTGCATTAGCGAAAATAAAAAAGCAAGGTTCTACCGAGATTTTGAACTCGGATCGCTGGATTTCAGCGTCCAGAGTGCTAACCGTTACACCATGAGACCGCACTTTCCGACGCCGGAATCGAACCCGGAGCCTTCTTGGTGAAAGCCCGATATCCTCGCCACTAGGACCACGCCGGAGATGAGGCTCACATGGCAGACGAGGCATCGGTACCGCGTGTCCTAATTCGGTGACAGTTTCGTCGTTGCCAGCTTTTCGCTGCATTAGCAAAAATAAAAAGCAAGGTCTCACCGAGAATTTGAACTCCGATCGCTGGATTTCAGACGTCCAGAGTGCTAACCATTACACACATGAGACACGCACTTTCCGACGCCGAGAATCGAACCGGGCCTTCTTGTGAAAGCCAGATATCCTAGCCACTAGACCACGCCAGAGATGGCTCAAGGCAGAGCGCATAGGTACCGCGGTCTATTCGCTGACAGTTTCGTCGTTGCCAGCTTTTGCTGCATTAGCAAAAAAAAAAGCAAGGTCTCACCGAGATTTGACTCGGATCGCTGGATTCAGAGTCCCGAGTGCTAACCGTTACACCATGAGACCGCACTTTCCGACGCCGGGAATCGAACCCGGGCCTTCTGGGTGAAAGCCAGATATCCTAGCCACTAGACCACGCCGAGATGGACGGCAAGGAACGAGCGCTGGTACCGGTGTCTATCGTGGACAGTTTCGTCCGTTGCCAGCTTTCGCTGCATTAGCAAAAATAAAAAGCAAGGTCTCACCGAGATTTGAACTCAGTTCCGCTAGATTCAGAGTCCAGAGTGCTAACCGATTACACCATGAGACCGCACTTTCCGAACCGGGAATGCAACCCGGGCTTCTTGGTGAAAGACAGATATCTAGCCACTAGACCATGCCAGAGATGGCGCCAAGGGGAATGAGCTGCTAGTAGCGGCTGTCTTGCTTCAGCGGACAGTTCGTCGTTGCCAGCTTTTGCTGCCTTAGCAAAATGAAAAAGCAAGGTCTCACCGAGATTTGAAGCTAGATCGCTTGATTTCAAAGTCCAGAGGTTCCTAACCATTACAGCATGAGACTGCACTTTCCGACTGCCGAGAATCGAACCCGGGCCTTCTTTGTGAAAGCCAGATATCCTAGCCACTAGGACCACGCCAGCCGCAGTGGCTCAATGGCATGAGCTGCTAGTACCGCGTGTCTATTCGTTGGACCGTTTTCGTCGTTGCCAGCTTTGCTGCATTCGCAAAACGTAATAGCAAGGTTCTCACCTGAGATTGAACTTCAGACCTGCTGGATTCAAAGCCCAGAGTGCTAACCATTACACCATGAGACCGCACTTTCCGACGCCGGGAATCGAACCGGGCCTTCTGGTTGAAAGCACAGAATCCCATAGCCAGCTAGACCACGCCGGACATGAAGACAAGAAACGAGCGCTGGGTACGGTGTATATCGTGGACACTTTCGTCGTGACAGCTTTGCTGCATTAGCAAAAATAAAAAGCAAGGTCTCACCGAGATTGAACTCGGATCGCTGGAGTCAAAGTCAGAGTGCTAACCATTAACACCAGAGACCGCACTTCCGTCGCGGGAATCGAACTTGTGCCTCTGGGGTGAAAGCCAGCTAGCTCGCCAATAGACCACGTTGAGATCGTGACATGGGAGAGCGCTGGTACCGGTGTGTTTTCGCGTACAGGTTTAGTCGTGCCAGCTTTGTGCATTAGCAAAAATAAAAGCAAAATCTCACCGAGATTTGAACTCGGTCCCTAGACTCAGGGTCAGAGTGCTAGCTGTTACACCATAGACCGCCACTTTCCGACGCCGGGAATCAAACCCGGGCCTTCTCAGTGAAAGCCAGATATCCTAGCCACTAGACCATGCCGGAGATGGCGACAAGAAAATGAGTGCTGGTACGGATGTCTCTTCAGGACAGCGTCGTTGTTGCCAGCTTTTGCTGCATTAGCAAAAATCAAAAGCAAGGTCTCACCGAGATTTGAACTCGGATCGCTGGATTCAGAGTCCAGAGTGCTAACCATCACACCATGAGACCGCACATTCCGACGCCGGGATTCAACCACGGGTCTTCTTTGTGAAAGCCAGATATCCTAGCCACTAGACCACGCCGAAGATGGCTCAAGGCTGCGAGCATCGGTACCGCGGTCTATTCGTTGACAGTTTCGTCGTTGCCAGCTTTTGCT